TGTTAAACCTTAAAAATGTCAACTCTGGCTCATAATTGAACGTTATGTTGCAGGAGACAGGATTGTCCACAGTGATATATATCTTATTATCTTTCTGCGTTATTAGTGTAGGAGTTAACCAGCTTTCCACTGAGTGTCAGGTTTCGTTACACTCTTCCTCCTGACAATCACCTGACATCTGCAGAAACAAATGCACGACTCATCTTGGAAAAATATTTTCACTTCATTTTGGGAATCTTGGGGCAGTTCATATCAAATTAGGGACTTAGGGTATGATCACATGGCTTAAACAATGATTTCCAATAATTCAACCTTCGCAGCTTCCCCTAAATATCCATTGGCAATGACTCCAATCTTGTCATTAGCACACATGTCCATAATGTGGTCAAGCCATCAACAAAATTCTATACATTACAGACGAGTTTCACTCAGCATCAAACCCTAACTAACAACCTAAATCTCGGCGGTGGAACACTAGAAGAATAGAGCTGTACGGCAATCATTTAATATTTGTCCGTTCAGTGAAGCACTTCACGTCAAACTGACAGTGTCCATAACGTTGACATATTAAGCTTCACAAAATGCTGTATATTCCTTGGTGGTGTCAAGCTTGTGATTTCCAAATGCTACTCTATCCCTATAAAATGTTTATAGGGATAAAGTTTAAGTTGAAAGTGTCATTGGCCTTGTGTTGCCCAGATTCAAGCACTGCCCCCGTGGTTTAGTGCCAGGGGGAGCGGAGCTGTATGTGCTGTGGAAGCATCATCTTTAAAAAGGCTAAATTTAAACCTCAAGAGTCGTCGCCTTGGTATGCAGAAGGCTTCCAGAACATAAACTCCAAATAAGCCCAGAGGAGCTACTGGAGGGTAGCAAGCGTCGATCACCTGGTTTTAAAAAGGTGTAACAGCGGCTCACCTGGACAATAGAGTTTAAAATGAACATGTACTCCAGACATAAGAATAAGGTATAAGAAAAATCTAAAAGTTGACCGCTAGTTTAACCCCACCCAATTTAGTGCCCCCTTTTAAACTTTTAGTTCTCACACAGCTCAGGTGTCATTCACATAAAAGTCGTCTCATTAGAAATAAGTTATTATTATTAGCTACAGCTACCTAGCTAGATAATTTAGCTAACGTTACTGCCATGATGCAATGGTTAAAAAACATTGTCTCCTGCAGATTTGACATTTTGCTAAAAGACTAAAGTTGCATGTTCTAGACAAAAAGCCGGTATCTTCACCGATTAATAATCCTCCAAGACTGTTGGTCTTCTTAATTTACAAACTAAGAGACCAAACTACGGAGGCTATAATGCCAATAATCATATACTCAACCACTAATGTAATGGGGGATTAGGTTTAAAGTTAGGATTGGTAATCCTGGAAAAGAGCAAGAGCAAGCTACAATTTGTTTCGTACAAATGCACCCGCTACATCGCATCCCCCCCATCTGACTAACTTCTGAGTATCTTCTCCTCATCATTAGATTATGTCTCTCGGGCTGAAGACTCGGGTCATGCGCAGTGACCAAGGACAAGGTGCGTGCAAGCTGGCGGGTTGGTTAGTGACAGTCATTTCATTCGGTCGTGTTTATCACGTTCACTGTATTTATCGATGGCTGTTGCTTCTCGAAGAGGATTTCAACCAGTAGCCTGAGATGAAGTGTTTCAGAAACAACTTACCAACACCACCTTGAAGGAGACATTCATTTTCAGCCAAACCACGCAACTTCCAATGAAATATCACAATCTTCCGTTTAATGACATCAACACAATCCAGTGTCATTTCATATAAGAATGAACTTAATATTTCTTCTTTGTTGGAGCGTAACATCATTATTTTCACCCAGCAACACAATTAGCAACAACACCACATAATAAAGGTGACTGCACATCATCATCTAATGACATTGCAATTAAGAATTCCCATAATACTGCAGTTAGCAAATTACATTGCATATTTCTGGTGTTCCTGCATAAATTAATTCCAGCACAATGTTGTTATCATCTCAAGCGCCTACAAACTAAACTGAACACTCCTCTTTTTACTAAAAAAAAAAAAAAGCAGCAGCAGCATTTCCTTGGCACAGATATAAAATATTATTTTCCGAGTGTTTCAACATGTTCCTATCATTTTTATTCAAAATTAGATCTCTGGAAGGTAAATGAGCTGTTCAAGAAAAAGTCAGCCCTGATCAATTAGCAAAGAATTTAAATGAGTTTCTGCCACAGATGACGAGCGTTGATGTTAAATTTAAATCTCAGATCCCTTGAAGTTGCAGAAAGGCCTGATGTCTTCACCTTGAAGTAGATGTGTAACATTTTCCTCATCTCAGTTGCTTTTCATCGCTGTTTTCTTTGACAGATAAACTGTAATCGCTGCCAGCTTTCTCAACATTACACATCAACAGTGTCCGAAGAGAAACCCAATCACAATCTCCGGACCTCTGTCCCCACCTGACAGTGGTATCGTATACCAGTATCACTTTCATGAAGTACACAGGAAACTAATTTCAAATATGTGACTTGGAAAGAAATTATAAATCCCACAACAGCTGTAAATTGACCTTTAGCTACAATTTCCCTTTCAAATGTCCATAAACATTCGTACTAATGCAGTTGCTGACAAAATCAATCAAACGACTTTGACTTCCTCCCTCTGAAGAGACACGTCAGCTGTACGCAGGCTTGTTCCATAATGTTCAACCATTATAAAATTGTGTATTTCAATTAGCACTCGTATTTTAAGGCTTCCTGTGAGACCGCGTCTCTCTCACCACTGAGCTTTGATAACAAGGCCCTGCAGACCTCAGGGAAAGCCCCCGCCCCCACACCCCACACCCCCCACCCCAAATCGCTGTTGTCATCAGATAACCAGGATGCCAATGTGACAGTAGAATCTGAGAGGCGTGGGTCAGCATATCACTGGCATCACAAATAGTAGGAGCTGTTAAGTACAGGGTCCCGCCTGCCACCAGCAGCCGGCCAAGACGTTTACATATGGATTAACAATATCGTACATATCAACATCTGTGAGAGTGGGCGTATGCTGTACGTCAACAGAAAACCAAAGCAAAGGGAGCTGCGCTAGATTCAATGTTAGGAAAAGGGCCGTACCAGCATGTTTGCAAATTGTAGCGCCTCATTGCATCACTTCACTAAATTTACAACTGAACATTGCTTTCACTCGTCGTGAGACGGATTGCACAGCCTGTGAAAATAGTTGCATAAAGTCTTTACCAGGCAAGAGCGTATGAAAGAAACCATGGGGTTGCATTATGGGAAATGTAGTTTTCGAAGTTTTGAATCATACAAGACTAAAGTGTCCCTGTTTTGAGACTGATGATGGATTATCTTGTCTTAAAACATGTGTTGGCCTCTTCTGCTTTGTTTCCTCACCCTCTCACTTTATGGAAGTGTTATAATGAATTGCTGCAGGACCCCGTCCCCTAATATCTTTTTCCACAGTTCCAGGCAGCCACTGGTTTCCATTCATTTTTAATTAAAGTGATTAGCACTCTTACTTTATTGACTTCATTCCCTCCGCTAAAAAGGTTATGGATTCACCCCTCTATGTTTGGGTTTGTTTGTTTTTCAGCAAAATTGCATCCAAGTGGTTTCCAATAAACTGTTGGCTCTGATCCGGACAAAGGGGGAATAATTTGTGGATCATGATGTAAAAATAATTTTGGGGACGGATATCTATGAGCAATTGGGTTCAGGTCCAAAGAAAAATCTGGAGCCAGCGGATTTAAATGTGGTTTCATAAGGGGACTGAGCCATGGTGGTGGTGTGTGTGCTCTAGCTTAAGTCTAGAATAAGTCCATAAAACATGGCCTCAATGCAACTTTGATGAAAAAGAAAGCAGACTTGATTATAAACCGTGATGGATTGTACATCTAAACCAAGTTCCAAGTGGATCCTCATGCTGTACAACAAGGAAAATGTGGTAAATCATTGTTTCCAAATCACAGCAGCATTGTTTGCAAAATGGTGCACGACAGAAGTAAATAGACAAAACATGTGAAACCACTGATATGGCCCTTTTTTAGTAACAGGAAATCTCTTTTTATACAGTAGCAGATCCCATCCAGCAAAAACAAACAGGATGTAACACGAGACACGTTTTAAATCTGTGATGACTGGACGAAGCGGATCTCCAGGGGTGTTTGACACAGTTCAAATCAATTCACGTCAAAAGTCTTATTGACAAGAGCCGTGGCATAAAACCAGACAGGTAAATCCCTGATGTGCAGTCTGTCTGAGTCACTGCTGAGTCTTTGTGCTCCTCATGCAACACCTGAGCCAAAAGGATCCACCAGAATAAAGTGACAGATATTCCCACCGCACCAACATACACGCTGTCATATCATTTACAAGGATAACTGCTGTGCATAACCACAGAGAGCAGAGACACCGTATAAGCAATCTGCGTCAAACAAACTAAAATAGTCATTGCAGAGGAGAGGCCTGCGTGAGAGCACAACTAAGTGAAAAGTCTTGTCCCCCGAGGAGCAGGAGAATGAATCCAGGGGGGGGGGGGGTCAAGAAATAAATAAAATAGCCAAGTGTGAAGAAAATCTAATCTTTATGCATGAGGTGTTATCTCTGGGAAATAAAAGTAATGGAGGGAGGTGAGAGGGGGGCATGTGTTGTGAAATGGCTCCAGAGTGAAAGGTCATTTTTGCCCTTGCACCTGCAGACAGTCTCATTGAGATTCCCCCCCCATCAGGAGTCCTGTCGACAGGTGGTGCACCGTGCAAACCTGCGGCAACTTCCCAACACCTCCGTTCATGCAGGAGCGCCACCGAGACGAACAAGTGACAATGCATTCACGGAAATAAACAACTTCCACCTTGATCCAACTTGGACGGTTGAATTTACGAGCTGCCTCCATAACGCGTAAATTGGCACGGATACGCACGCACACAAACACACAGTCACACGCACGCATCCACAGTGAAGGGAACAGCTCACACACCGACCACAATCTCCTTACTTACAGTTCTCAAGAACTGGATCTCATCTTCCCCTTCTCCGCCCTCAGCCATGGCTGTGAAGGAGCCTGCTCAGACTCTGGAAGCCACCACTGACTGCCGGCAGAAACGCGATGCTGTGCCTCTCAAGCCGATATTAGCATGGAGCTCATCCACAGCCATATAGGGCAGCCCGGCGAGACCCCCTCCTCCTCCTTCTCCTCCTCCACTCCCTCTCCCACCTACCTACCCCTTCATCCACCCTGCCTCCTCCTCCTCTTCTCCCTCCTCCTCCTCCTCCTCCCAGAGACCCGACGCCAGCAGCAGCAGTGCGGAGCAGCGCACGGATGGAGCCGGGGCATCAGAGGACGAGCTCCCGGTGATGTTGCTGATGGTGATGATGATGATGATGATGATGATGATGATGCTGGCTGTCACTCAGGATGAAGAAGATAATGATGGTTATGATGCTCAGATTCTGAACTACCACCAAATGAATGTAAAGTTAAGACTGGCTCTGTCCCTCTGTCTGCCCCCCCTCACCCTCCCTCACCCACTGTAGTGAAATCTGCAAACATTCATTTTCTCCTGTTGCACAAGAGCTCATTTTATAAAGAAACGCAATTAACCTAATTGCATATTTAAGTACCTAACCTGCCTTTTTGCTTCTTCACCAACTTGCTTGTTTTAATATACATCTGTTGTAGTGAGTGCTGAGGCTGTAGTAAGAGAAACAAACCATTTCACCTCTATCTGTCCACACTGACTCTACTGATTTAAGTTCATTTTAAACATTTGCAATATTCTAGTGAGAAATAAAATATATTATATATATTTAAATCTGACAGTTTGATTGTGTCCTACAGGTGACAGAGGCTACAACACTGGTCAGGTGTTCACCTCATTCACTGATCAGGAGGCAGATGAGAGCTGCCAAAGACATCGAGGACATCTAGTGGTCAGCTTGTGAGTTGTCAATGCAAATGGATTGAAATGCACAGTTCTCATCCTGTTCACACAACTGACATGCCTCAGTAACATCAGTTTGACCCCTTCTACGTGCTTTTACCTTTTAAAATGAAACTACTGTCCAAGGAGGTTGGATGTTTGAGGTTTTGGAACTTTCTGTGCCTTTGGACAGTGCGTATGTTTCTACATCTGTGTTTTTCTTTGAGTTGTCACTACCAGTGTTTGCTTTCGGTCCATTAAAAGGTCCAATTACCACCAAGTCTCTCAAGTCTCAGATGTAATTCATGACAGAAAAATCATTACCATCTTGAACCTGTAATTAGAAATGAACAGTTAAATCACCCAGCTCTCTATTACTTAAAGCAATTTATGGTAGATCAGCTCATGATAACTTAATGCATCATTTTACTGAGGTTGCAGTCCTTTTCCTGTTTGTTAAGATTTAGCTGTCGTGGCTTCAGTGACACTGGCAGCTGTTTGATTTCTTTAAACTTCTGTAATCCATCACAGACAGCTGGCCAGCAGGTGAGATTAGCTCCGTGCACGCACTGACCAGCGTGCGGCTCAGCACGGTGCACGCCTGACCTAAATAACACTTCATGGTCGGTGTGCGGCTGCAGGGGCAGATGTGACTTAAACAACCCAGGTTAATAATTGCACTGACCTCGCAACCTTAACTGACAGGGAGCAAAAGTATTTCTTCATGTTGTATCAATAAGAACATTTACTTAAGAGGTTTGTACTTTTATTGAATAAATATATTTGTATATTGTCATTGTTGTTATATTTGACATTAGGCTTTTACATGCAGTATTATAATGTTTGATACTATAGATGAAACTACACCATATGAAGTGGATAAAAACTGCAACATGACAATGCTGCGTATACATAAATTAATTTGTAATAATAAGACAGTTTTATAAAATGTGTCAATTTAAAGTTGAGAGCGGCATAAAAAGTACTTTTACATTTGATAGTTTAGGCATATTTTGCTTTGAATTCAGTATTTTCTTCTGTAAGAGTTTGAATGCAGGACTTTTTACAGTGTAGTATTTTTACCTTTACTTTTATGGAGGAAGTAATTATACAAGAAATGCAAAGTTTAACCAATGACTGGTATTTTAATAAAAACAACAACTATATGTTTTATTAAAGGGAGGACTTACACTGGTGCCCATTATGTGTTTATTAGACTGATGTCAATAAGATTACAATTATAAGTCCAAATCCTCATTGAGCCTACCGTCTGTCTGTTTATGTGCTCCCCACCGTACCTGTCAGCCCTCAGTAGATTACTGGTAGTGATGTTCATCCCATCAGCCAGTAGGAATAATTGAATTTTCCAGTGACTCCAGGGATTGGCTGACGCTCCTGTCTGTCACATCGGTGGACGGGCCGCTGTCTTCTGTCACCTCAGTGCAGCTGAAGTGCAACAGAGCAGTGACCTGCAGCAGAAGGGATGGAGGAGACAGACACGAGTAAGTGGATGAATTAAGACACACCTTTCTCTCGTTGTTTCTTATGCATATGTCACAGTCACCAAATACTAAAGAGTTTTTATTGTTATTAACATTGTTGAGATGAAGTAAATTTTATGAGTTGAAGACTATCGCTCACTTACAGTTATAATGAAAGTAAACAACTCAACACTCTCAGTTTGATAGTGTTGTTTAGCGTTTTGCTTTAAACAATGACTGTGATCAATTAACAATCATTTGACTTTTGGTTTCAGTTTTAAATTGGTGCTTGTGTGTGTCATGTTTTTGACACAGCACCAATACATCCATAAACAATTATTTTCATTGTGAATTAATTTCCTGGTTCATCATTTGGTCAATAAAATATTGTTAAAGATTTTCCTGAAGGCCAAGATGGTGTCTAGTTTAGGGAGATGAAGACAAGAGACTAAAAAGCGTTGGTCTCTTTTTGATCGAAAAAGCAAACCTTAATTAGATTAGAAGTAGTTTTACTTCATCCCACTAATACTCCCATAGTACTTAGACTCTAATGCACCTGTGTTGTCTACTTATCTGAGAGAGGCAACATCTCATTTTGATTCCTGCACAATGATCCATTTTTTCTCCCAGGACTCGGTGGTGAATGAGTGTCTGAGGTTTCAACCCTACAAGCAGGACCCATCACCTGCTCCATCTCCGGCGATAGAATAACATCATGGAGTGCACTCACGCCACCTCACACCTCTACATCAGCAAGAGGAGTCGTGTGAGTCCGTCCTTCTCTCTGTGCAGGGGCCCATCTCCCTCCTCTAGAGCCCCTCTCAGCTCCAAACGAAGACTGGGCTCCAACTGGGAGGAGGAGGAGGGTCCAGCTGGAAATGTGAAGCCGGGTCAAGCAGACAAATTCGGCCTCACGGACTTGAAAGAATCCCTCAAAGCGCTGGATGACTCTTCCGAGATCCGCTGGCTGACAGAGTTGTTGCCGCTGTGTCTGGAGTGCCAGGCTTTCATGAGCATGGGGAACCAACAGGGCGTGAAATCCCCAAGGATCCAGATCCCTCGGGAGAGAAGGAAGAGAGCGGAGGGGATCGTGAACGCAGGCACCCTTCACCATAACGTCAAGATGTCACCCGGGTTTCCTCGGGTGCCCTCGAAGGTAAAGAGGCAGACAAAGCTTCAGATGTCGAGCTCCCCTACATTTGGAGAATGGGACTTCAAGGTGGACAGGCCAATCAGGAGAAAGGGAGCTACTGTAAAAGACAAGGAGAACAAAAGTGATTCGACACAGGAAATAAAGCCAGTGTGGAGACTGAAGCCACCTGATCCTGCATCTGAAAAGCTTTCTAGATCTTATGCTAAAAAAGGTCCTCTCTGCCACAAGAGGGATTTACCCGTAGAGGATGAATGTGCATTTCCTGACTCAGACACTGACCTTTCTGAATACGACAACGAGACGTACTCAGCGTATATCACTCAGCCTCGCCTTGACTCGAACAGAAGGACAGAGGAGAGAACCAGGAATGCAACAAAGGCCCAGATCACCCAATCAGCAAGTCATAATCATGAGGACAGGAAGGCAGAGGTCGGGGAGGCGAAGTCCCCTCAGTGGTGGTTTGAGGAGTTGGGGAAGAGGACTGCAGCACGGCGAGTGATGGGCAAAATCGAGGAAGTTGAGGGAATCATACGAAGGGTGAGGGTCACCAGCTCGGACTGGATAAAAGAGGGGAGTGACAGTGATGAACCCCAGTTTATCCCAGATGGAAGCATCAGTGACGATCAGCTCCGAGTCCTGCAACAAAGATGCAGGGCGGAATTCACTTCTGATTCCCTAAATGAGATGCATGACTTGGGTTGCACTGCAGACAAGCCTCTTCTGGTGGAAGAACTTCGAGTCCTGTGTGAAGCTCTGAGCCAGAGCCTCCATCATGCCCTGAGGATGGAGGGAGCAAAGGCCGATATCTCAATTCAATGGGATCAAACAGGAAGAATCGACCATCGCATCTTTACAAGTGTTCAAACAATTTCCCGCGGCCTCTTTCAGCCGGTAGAGAAACTTCCCCTGAACCGTCACCGTCCCTGTCCTTAGTCCTGGACGTTTCTTCACCGACATCCAGCAGCTTTGACGTCATGTCCCCGATTTTGTCGCCCTTGTTTTCGTCCTCTCTGTCCAGCCAGCACTCTCTGCCACTGAACCTGACTGATCAGCGTGATGAAGACGTGCGTCAGGGTCACAGAGTGCAGACAAAATCAGGAGAAGACAGTTCATTCTCTGGAGACTGTGGAGGTGCCAAAGAAAAGAACGAGAGGAATCCAAAAAGAAAGTGGTCATGGTCGAGCCTCGGGCTGAGTGAAGAGAATCAGATTCAGACATACGGACGCACCAGTGAGACAGAGGCCAGCCACGATCATCTGCTCTCTTCAGGTAAAAATGTATGACTTCAATAAAGTTAAGTTACTGAGATCTGTCTGCACAAATTGTTGCATTTATGTGATTTTGCAAACGTTTCTCATATTGTGATCGTTACCGTGTTGAAATGATGTCAAATCTTTTTGACCATGTAGCCCACAATACAAGTCAAACTCATGATCCAGGAGGACAGAACGCCTTTGGTGAGTTTGCGGCAGAGTAACAGGGTGAGAAGTGGGTGTGCAGCAGCATGACTTTGACTTTTAGTGGTTGGTTAGTGGAGTGAACAGCGGGAAGAAGGGCAGACGGCTTCAGAGGTGCTACATGCTGAGTCCTGACTGTCAGATTTACACATTGATTGAGACGCTCTGATTTTTAACGCTCTGACCTCAGTCTGGTTTCATCCGCTGCTGTAGTCTCCTCTGGGTCGATGAGCACACACACACACACACACACACACACACTCTCTCTCTCTGTCTCTTTCTCACCACAGCAGCTGAATCGGATCTGAAGGATGTGTGGTAGTCTGTAAATAATGACCCCGTGCTGGCTTGACATACCACTATGTTTTTCTCTCTGTGTGTGTGTGAGATCAGGCATGAAGTGCAAGTTGAGCACCTGATGTGAATACCCTGATAGTTAATCAGCACCGGCCTGACGTGACCTGTTTCCCTTTAAAAAACTGTGTGTGTGTGTGTGTGTGTGTGTGTGTGTGTGTGTGTGTGTGTGTGCGTGTGGTCACATGACTGATGGGTCAGAGGGTTGTGATGAGGATTAACCGTGTTGGATTTCTTAGTAGATAATTGGAGTTTGCTCGTTCTCACTGTGTCTGTGTGTTGGGTTAATTGAAGACTCTAAATTGCCTGTGGGTCTGAGTGGTTGTTTGTCTACACATTGGCTCCGCAATACACCGGTGACATGTCCTGATTGTACTCTGCCTCTCGCCCAATGTCCCCTGGGATCGGCTCCAGCGCCCGCACGACCCTCAGTGGACAAGCAGTACAGATAATGGGTGGTTGGAAAATCACATTACATGTAAGGACGTTATCTTGTTTCAATCAAGAGCTCCAAAAAAAAAACTGCAAATGACACAGTCAGACAGTGTAGAAGAAGAAACAACTAAAGAATTAAACTGTGTAAAGGATAAATGCATTTTTAGTAGAAGAGGAATCATGGCACAGACTTTGATCAGTGAGGTCTGATGACTGTTCCTCGTGCACGCCAGACATCCCCGGCTGTCGAAGCAGGATTAACGCTCCGAGCCTTGTGAAACACATCAAATCTTTGGAGGACGATAATCAGAGCGAGAGGCAGAAAGACATTCAGAGCCGTCTGAGGGTTATTCTCCAATATCCATCGCTCAGTGTTCATTGTGGTCAAGCCGAGGACAGATAATACATTTCCATAAACTGTTTGATTTGCCTTTGTGTCGGCTGGAGGTTCCACCACTGGCATCTGTTGGAGAGACAAGCTTCTCTCCTCAAGGCCGAGCTGCCTTTGACCCCGGCTGGTACGAGCTAGAAGACAGTAAAGGATCATTAGCGCACGCAGGACATTAGCTTTAACTCTTCACCTCTACTTCCGGCAGTGAAGGAGTCTTATTCTAAAGAAAAGTAAAAGAATAAAGTTTACACATTTAAATATGATGATTCTAACTTTAACACTTTGTGTGATAAATCACGATGTCACCTCTTGTTGCACATCTGCACTCCATCCTCTGAGCTCCACTAGTTTTTCAATTAGCACAGTTGGCAGTAGGTGTCACCGTTGCAGCCGCACACATCAATCATCCACTCCTCATCTAACTCTAGTGTAACAATACATAAAAATATTTAAATGAAAACATTACTTTTTACAATTTGCTGTATAAGATTTAAATATGTTTATT